TATTTGAAAAAGGAATTCAATTGAGAGTAATTCAAATTTTAAGCATTTGAAATTCTTTGAATTTTAGAAATGATTTATCCAAACACAACATAAAGGCTTTTCCCGTAAAGGGATTCGGTTCAGAGGTTACATGATATTTTCATAAAGATTAGATAAATATAATGGTTAATGAAAGTGGTGCACTATAAATCACATATAAAGGTATTGCGCATGCACTAGCCTTTGTCGACAAGATACAATATGTTCATCGACTCATATATTATAAATTAATTAAAATAAATAATTTAGTGAGATTTTTTAAGATAATTATGTCTCATGTGATAAATATGTGATGTATAAAAGGATAAATAAATAATTAAATAATTAGGAACTAAATCATAAATAGGTTTAATGGAGTAGTTTTGAGAATAATTGTTATTTGATACGAATAACAATCTTTAGGAGTTATAAATATTCACTAATGTGAAACAAGGTCCACATCCCTTACAGAAAATATTCTCTCAAACCCTAGCCATCACAGAAGATAGAGAGAATAAAAAAAAAGAGTCAAAGGGAGTGAAATCTTGGTTCTCTTCTCAAGAAGATCAAAATACTCTAAGGATCAAAGAAGGTTTCTATTATGGAGAAAGGTACATATTATTTCTTATTATTATGTGAGTATCATGAATTTCAAAGATCCTTTTAATTTTTTATAATTGATGTATTAAAAAATCATAAAACTTACAATTTTAACCAAAATGAGAAACCACTCAATGAGCGATTCTCATGAAAAATATACAATGAAATATGAATGAACAAAAATTGAAGATTTAATCAAGTACTAATGCAAGTAATTCTAACTAAAATGTTTTCTAATTATTATTCAAATAATGCATCATTGATCAACACAAATTATCTTTTGATAATCATATTTTTTGTATCAAGTATTCATCAACTTCATTTGATGATTAATTTTTGCTTAAATTTGATCCACTATTTTTAGTGGGGAGGAGTGAATTTCATATCTAGTTCATAATTAAGTAGATTGAATTTAAAATCCATATCTATTTAATTAGATAAAATTGGTTTGAATTTTTTTTTATCTCATTTGAACTAGTATATGGTTGAAAAAAATTTGAAATCATAAACTTATTTCAAAATATAACAATTTTGTATTGCAATATAAGTTATTTATAATATAATTTTTATATGTAAAAAGTATTTATAATTTTTATTATATTTTTTTATGATATAAAATAAAAAGATAAGTTTATGCATTATACAAACTAAAATATTAGTATTAAAAGTACAAGTTTATAGTGTAACAGAGGTTGTGGTTTACATTCATGCAATTTCACTCACGCCTGATCCAAGTATTACAAAAAAAAATTATCATATAATGATACACACTTTATAGTAACACAATATTTATCATTAAAAATTATATGTTAGTATATTATTAAAAAGTGTAGGTATAAACTATAATGATACACAATATATATATATATATATATATATATGTGTGTGTGTGTGTGTGTGTGCGCGCGCGCGCGTGCGTGCGTGCGTGCGTGTGTGTGTTTTGTTAAATCTCATTCAAAATCAATATTAAAATTGTGTGTAACTATATTTCAAATAGGAATGGCAAGTAAACTTGTACTAGTGGGTAATGCCCAAACCTGATGGATTTCCTTTCTCCATGGTGCGCTTGATGACTCCCAAAGGGAAAACCTCCTCTTCTCCACGGCAATAGAAGAAGAAAAATGGTTGAATCTCTTCAAGGATAAGAAGTAGGTTGATTTAGGCGTGAAGGTAGGGATGGTGGGCAAATAGGATGAATGGGAGGTGGAAGGTGTTTGAGTGCTTCTAAGTTGGCTCACTTCACCAAGGATGGGTGCAGGTCACTCAAGGTAAACCTAACACTAACTTTAGGTTGAAAGGAGAGGTTAAGGCCGAAGAACCCTAGATGACTAAGGAAGGATGTTGAGGCAAAAAATATGGTCACTCAATATCATATATTCCAAAGTTTCTACATGGTGGGAGACCTATGGTATATATAGAAGGAAGGAAAGCATCTAGGGTTGCATTTGAAGGTGCATGACCGAGAAATGCAAGCCAAATGCACCCTAAGTAAACCCTAAGTGTGGTTTGAGTTCCTTTCCTCCTAAAAGAGTAAAATACTCTTTGACCTAAAATTAGAAAGAAAGAAAAAAGAAGAAAGTGGACTTGGACCTCACAAGTCAAGGTTTAAGCCCAAAAATAAATTCTAAGTTAATTTGCCCCATAATACAAAGGCTAAAATGAATATACAAAATAAAATCTTATCATCTAGGATACCCCAAAATACAAGGATAAAATGGAAATAAAAGCAATAAATCCTATACTACACAAAAATAAGCCTAGGAGAGAGTCAATACTCTACACACATGATGAGCATAGCCCTAGGCATGGTGTCTCCTTCATCCTCCTCCACTCTCCTAGGCATGGACCTAGTAATGGGTCTCACATGAAGCTTCAAGGGTGGTCCTCCATCAAAACTTGTCTCGACTTTGATGAAAAATACCTAGTTTGACCGGGCACGGTATAGGTATGGGTACCGATTCATTAAATTGGGTACAGGGATGGGGATGGATATATACATATCCCCGTACCCGTTTAAAAATATTTATAAATATTTTTTTTTTAGAATTTACTTAAGTTTTATATAATTTCTTACAATATTTTTAATTTATGTCAAATAAAGTTTAATTAATGTAATTTTGTAATTATTATTTTATGTTAATTTTTTTTACATTCTTATGTTAAGTTTTTTTACATTCTTTTACAAAAAAATAATATTTAATTAATTTTTGTATGGATATGGGACGAGTATGAGTATACTCGATATTCATTGACAAGAGACACAAATTTCATACCTATCAAGTATGAAGATGATGATAGATATAGGATATGAGAATGGAAACGAGTACGAGTATAGAGAAACTCGTACCCACCTTATCTTGTTGTCATCCCTAATGTCAAATAGATTGACACTTCCATATATTATATTTATAATGACATTTTTTATATGTCAATATATATAACATTACATTGATTAAGTGAAATTTTCAATTTTATAAAAATATTCATTATTAAAATTATTCATTTTCTAAATAATTAGACATATTAAATTTATTATATTTAATGACTAATGATTATTAAAAATATTACTTAATTATAAATTTCATATGTTCTTATAGATTTAGTCTAAATTTTTCAGTATTTAAATATTATTTTGATTCTGACTACAAGATAGAATTATTCTTTTAAAAAAATCTCTTTTTACGAAATTTAAATTTGATAAATTATTTAGAATCAAGTATTTTTTTTGCTTATTGAATCAATTAATGTGTTAATAAAATATTCATTAACAAATTGACAACATCACATACGACAAATTTATTGACATCAGTTTCATAAATAATTCTTAATCAAAGTTAGGTATTGATAAATAGATATACCTACTAAGATACATTAGTCAAATTACCAAGTGTTTAACTAACTCATAACAACCATAATCCAACACCAAACCAACAAACAACTGCTACCAAAACTAAAATGCTATACTTCACTTTCTCATCTTTCCAATCAGTTATCTTCGTATATCATTTTTTTCTTTGGTTGCAAAAAGTACCAGTTCTTGTAATGATAGAATTAATCACAAATCTCTTTAAAAAATTTAGTAGGATTATAAATCATCTATTTCATCTTTAGTGTAAATTTATATAGAATAATATAAAACACGAAGAAAACTAAATTCGATTTCAAATACTAACTAATAAAAGTGAAGATACTTAATCAAATGTATCATCTTCGTGAAGCTCCTTCGTATATGAATTACACAAGTTAATTAAAAAAATAAAACCAATACATAATATTTGAAGGATTTTTCTTTCAGTAATAACTAATAAATACTAAATTATTAATATTATTTTCTAGTTAAGAAAAAAAAATTATATATATATATATATAAAATAAAAATAATAAATTAAAAAAAAAACATGTAGCCTATTTGGCAGAAATAATAAAGAAAGAGAAATTAATGGTAACCACATTTAATATTCTCTTTTTAACACTTTTTTCACTAAATTAAAATTTATTAGAAATAACAAATTTTGTGGATTTCACATCTTATTCAATAAATCTCTTTTGATTTAGTAATATGTATGACTCATCAAAATTTTGCAACTTTTAACTAATAACAAAAAGTAGGCTTAAATATTTTTTTTATCCCTCAAATTTAGGATAAATTTGTTTTTAATCCTTAAAATTTAAAATTGTTGTTTTTAGCCCCTATAATTTAAAAAAAAAAATATTGTTTCAGTCTCTCAAATCATCAATAACATATTTAAAAATGACAGATTGAGATAATTATGCAATATCAACTAAGTTTAATATGGTGTTTTTATTAATAAAGATACCAGTAAATATATTTTATGTAATAGTATTTAATACTCTAACAAAATTTGAGTATAAGAATTAAAATAAGATTTTTTAATTACAAAACTAAAAATAACAATTTTTAAATTTGAAAAAAAAAAATATTAGTCAAAAAAAAGGGAAAAATATCACAAACATTTATTGGAAACACTTATCAGATAGATTACATTTTATCCTATACAATCTATCTGATAGGTAGAAAATTATATATTAAAATCATATAACCTCATGTCCTATTCGATGAATCTCATATTTTGTAGTTTTTAATCAGTTCAAGTCAATAAAATCAAGAGCTTGGCGAAGTGGTCAAGAAAGCATTAATTAAAAAAGAAAGTGCCGCCACATTGTTTGTTTAATTTCACGTTGGAATAGTCAAAGGAGACCAAGTTCTAACATTTTTTTTTTACTATACTCTCAACAACATTTGGTGTTGTCTCTAAATGTCCGCACATAATGAATATCATAATCTTGTTATAGCTGGCCAGCTTCCTATATAAAAAGGGCATCACTCATCACTCTCATTCGTGTCAAACATAACAGATTAACCAGAAAAACAAGAGAAGATCAAAGATTAACCAAATATGGCAAGCAATGACTTTTTCCTTCTCAGTGTCATTGCTCTTGTCTTTGTGATTAGCAAATCCAACGTTAATTGCACACAAAGTGTTGAAGTTAATCCCATTCTTGACTTTGCTACATTGAATCGCCACAGTTTCCCTCCAGGCTTTATCTTTGGTGCCGGATCCTCATCGTACCAGGTATTTAATTTGTGAAGACTTTTACGTTAATCAATTATCCTCTTTATAATCTTTAACGTAGTTAATACAAAAAACAAGTTTATTATGCATGATAGTATTAAAAACTTTTACATGTGTATGATTATAATAGTTAAATTGTTATGGTGGGTTTAATTTTTATACATTATTAAAAAAAGTTACACTTTAATTAAACAATTAATTACAAATAAGCGTAAATAAGATCTTGATCACATTTAACATGGTCTTGATTATGTTGTGTTTGTGAAATGTATAGTTCGAAGGTGCGGCAACGGAAGGTGGTAGAGGACCAAGTATATGGGATACCTTCACCCATGAACATCCAGGTATATATAATTGATTAATATATGAAAAGAAAAAAAAAATGGTCAACCAAAACACTATACTTGCTGATGCATGAATAGTAATCAACGTCTAGTACCCTGAATGAACTGATGTGTAAAGAAGAAAGATTTAAGAAAGAAAAATAGTAGGGAACAAATGATAAATTAATATGACTAGTGGTATAATAAATAAATAAGAGAGATAACAAAATGAGATGTAAAGAAAATTAGTATATATATGTTAAATATTTTTCCTTGACATATAAGGCCAATAACAGTACAAGTCCCCTATACAATGAGCATACGAAGAATAAAAAGTTATTTAAGAGCTTTGTAACGATAATTTACAATTTTTACATGTTGAATATTGATGTCAGAAAACATAGAAGACGGAAGCAATGGAGACGTGGCCATTGATACATATCACCGTTACAAGGTATATGCTTGCTTCAAAGTATTTTGTATCTTCTAAATTAAAGAGTGATATGTGTGTAATTGACTAATGAATAATAGTTTAAATAATATCTTTTCTAATTTTGAAGGGCCGTATATTAAATCTTATGGTTAACTTTTGTTCCTTTTCATTTTATTACTATTGTTCAGTGCAATATAATAATATCTAGTTTTTGGCAATATGTATGTGTTTAGGAAGATGTTGGGATTATGAAGGATATGAACTTGGATTCGTACAGATTCTCCATTTCTTGGTCAAGAATATTACCAAGTAAGTCAAAAGATTGATGATTATTTTATATTAAATCTGACCCGCTTCAACAATGTTTCAATTGATTAAATTTAATCATTTGAAATTATTTTTTTACAATTGGTACATCCACCACAGAAGGAAAACTAAGTGGAGGTATAAATCAAGATGCAATCAACTATTACAACAACCTTATCAACGAGCTAGTAGCAAATGGTAATAAGATCTAATTAAACTTTTAGTTATTTTGAGTTTTTCATGATTATGTTTTCTTGTTATTGATAATCATTATTAATTAAATATTAACAACTACTGTAGATATACAACCATTAGTAACCCTTTTTCATTGGGATCTTCCACAATCCTTAGAAGATGAATATGGTGGTTTCTTAAGTCCTCGAATAATGTGAGTTTTCATTCTAAATTGTTATTGTACAATTAAATAATTCAATACCTCTAGATAAAATTATAATGTTATTGAACTTTTTCTATCTTCAGAAAAGATTTTCAAGACTATGCAGAACTTTGCTTCAAAGAGTTCGGTGATAGGGTTAAGTATTGGGTTACTTTAAATGAACCATGGAGTTATAGCAAGAATGGCTATGCAACCGGACAAATGGCACCTGGACGATGTTCTGCTTGGTTAAATTCAAATTGTACTGGTGGTGATTCTGGGACAGAACCATACATAGTTACTCACCACCAACTTCTTGCTCATGCAGCAGCTGTTCATGTGTACAAGACTAAGTATCAAGTTAGTGTTTTTGTTGTTAATAAGGGCATTGTTTTAATTTTTAAATTAAATAGTAATAATAAACCAAAAATATTTGAATTTTTATGTGCAGGTATCACAAAAGGGTTTGATAGGCATAACTTTGGTAGCTAATTGGTTTTTGCCACACTCAGATACCAAATATGATCAAAAGGCTGCTGAAAGAGCAATTGATTTCATGTATGGATGGTAAGAGATCTCTTTTTCCTCTCCACATTTAAGTTACTTACCAAAAACACATGCATATGTTGTACTAGAAAAAGAAAAAGAAAACATATATATGAATTGTATAAGATCTGTAAACTCTCAACCATGTATATATGTTGTACAAGTAGCTTTCGTAAGTTGTTAATCCTTTATCATTTTATTGAGGCCATAAAGAGTCAAACCAGTGTTTTTAAGAGCTAGGCTTGGATAGAGGAAGCTTGTTGTTGTTTTCTCCTTTTGGTTATATAGGGTCGATGACTTTTAAATGGAAACTTACATTGAAAACTATTTGATTTCAGGTTTATGGATCCGTTGACATTAGGAGAGTACCCCAAAAGCATGCGATCTTTCGTGAGAACACGATTACCAAAATTCACTACAGAGCAATCTAGACTACTCAAGGGTTCATTTGATTTTATTGGCCTAAATTATTACTCCACAACTTACGCTTCTGATGCACCTCATTTAAGTAATGCTAGACCTAGTTACTTGACTGATTCTTTGGTCAATCCTGCATGTAAGGAACAAATTGATTTATAACCTTTTTATTAGTTGTCTAAATTTCTTAAATATATATTGAATTTGATCATTATTAACAATGGTTTTTCTTCTGATTGATTGCAGTTGAGCGTGATGGAAAACCCATTGGTATAAATGTATGTGTATTTTCTTTAAATTTGCAAATGTATCAAGTTAAATCCATTTGATCGATATAAAACTAACCTTTTTCCATATATATTTATGCAGATTGCTTCTGATTGGATATATGTTTATCCAAAAGGAATTCGTGACCTTTTGCTATATACCAAGGAAAAGTACAATAACCCTTTGATTTACATCACTGAAAATGGTAAATAACTCTTTATCTATATATCATATACAATTTCCTTGAATTTAAAATCATACATCACAATATGTGGTTTATTTTTCCTTTAGGGTTTGACAATTTTCATCATACATTCTTTGCTTATAGGTATAAATGAATTCAATGACCCCACATTATCAGTGGAAGAATCTCTAATGGATACATTTCGAATTGATTATCATTACCGTCATCTCTTTTATCTTCGATCTGCAATTAGGTAAGTAGTTTTATATAATCCTAAAATGATTTTTTGTTTTGTCATTACACAATTTAATATTTTTTAATTAACTTCCATTTATTTATACTTGACAGGCAAGGAGTGAATGTGAAGGGATATTATGTATGGTCATTGTTCGATAATTTTGAATGGTCTTCCGGTTATACAAAACGATTTGGAATGACCTTTGTAGATTATAAAAATGAGTTGAAAAGATATAAGAAATTGTCTGCATTATGGTTCAAAGGTTTTCTCATAAAAGATACTAGACTTTATGGTTATAGTAAATAGTATTATTATGAGATTATTTTTTTTTTAAGATTTTTTTTTCATAATTTATTATTTTGTTCTAAAGAAGTACCATTAGATTCGAAAGTAAATGGAAAATCGACATGTATATTTTTATTGTTCCAATATGAAAGAAGGAAAATTATAATTATTATGATAAATATATTGATTATAATTTGTTCATTTATAGTTTTCTCCCAATTTTTGTAAAAGTTGATGAAGCTCTCTTTATTTTCATCATGAACTAGAAAATAGAAATTAAACAAAGTAATTAAGAAATTACAAGCAAAATTAATTACTAGCCGAAGTATAACATTACCACCTTTAATAATGTTGTTTGGATTAAGCCCAAATATGGTAGTCAAGCCTATAAATGTTTGAGTACCATCCATGTCATGAATCACACAATATATAGGGGGAAAAAATAGAAATTTATGTACCATTGATTTAAGAGAACTTAATTACATGAAATAATACGTAAACACCTTAAATCTGTACATAATTATATCCCGTGAAAACAATAACAGTATGAATTTATGTATTTTTGGGTGTTTAGCATATCATGTAATAACATTGGTTTATTAAAGAAATAATAAGAATAATTAATAATGACAAAGTATGACCTTCTCAAATCCATATATACCTAAAAATATTTCTCAAAGCTCATAAATTATTATGTTTACATTTTTTTTAGAATGAAATTTTAATATGTGAAGACATTAGTAGAATTCAAAAACTTTTCAATCAATAAATGATATAAGTCATAAAATAAATAAAAATATTATTTAATTAAATTGGTTCATGGACTAATTACATATCTTGACTTGTAGGAATAGGAGTTGATCGGGCCTTAAACAAAATCTATAGTCTGACTTATTTAAAGTTTGGTTTGAAAATCAAGTTTGGGTTTTTAAAAAGTATTTATTTAAAAAAAAAAAGTTGAACTTAGATTTAAAAAAGTCAATCTATTTATCTACATGATATAATGAAAAAAAAAAATAACATACATATTACCTCATTAACATTATAAATATATTTTTATTTTAAATTCTAAATTTTTATAATTATAGAGTAAACTATTTTTTTATCACACAAATTAAAAGGAATTGTAAGCATATTTAAAAATAGATTTAGTGACTTATTTAAGATTAAATTTATTGACCTATTTAATATATTAATATAAAAAATTGGCTTTTAAATAGGTTAATAGGGCAAACTAAGTTGTTAAAAATGTTAGTTTAGACTTGTAAAAACTTTTATGATAAATAATATATTAGACTTAATTAGTCTTTAATTTTATAAAATAAACTTGGTCTATATATTTAAAGTCTAACATGATTTATTTTATTCTCATCCCTACTGACTCGTCATTTAGCCTAACAAATAAAAAGAATAATGAATTATAATTAATGTTCACCTCACTTCATCAAGTTTTGATGAATCAAGTTGACTCACAAGTTGTGACCAATTTTATCATCTTTAATTTCAAAACATCATTCCTTCTCCATAAAATTTCATAAATAAAAAAAAAAATGTTACATTGAAAACACCATAGGAGATTTTATGTATATATTTAAGTACTCCTTCAAGTTCTTTTTATAAGATACAAATTAAGAATGTTATTTAGTCATTTTTATAAAATTCAATTTTAACATGTCTCTTGTATTAGTTTTTTATTTTTACAAGAAATACCTTTACTTAAAGTCATTTCTCTTAATTTAAAAATAGTTTATTTGAATATACAAGTTTAAAAAAAATAAATATATATCTTCTAAAAAAAACTCTTTATTAAGAAATTCTCAAAAACTCTTTTACATTGATATCTAAAAGAGTCTATGAATTTTATTACTGTTAGGAGTAATTTCCAAAAAGAAAATATAAATTTATAATAAATTTAATATTATCAATTAAATTATTCAACTTCCTTAATCATGATAAATTAAATAATTACTCGTATAAAAAAGACCCAAAGAAATATAACATTGTTGTGCATTTTAAGAAATTGTATATGTACTTTAATGAGATTAATGATTATTCAGATCGTGAAGTATACCCCTCCATTCAAATGTTCAACTGCCTATTGTCGAAGGTCATCGTCTCATCAACCATGTGTTTTGATTGGTTTATGCCAAAGAAATAATCGATTGTTTTTTCATGATGCAACTAAAACAACAAAATAGTTACTTATATTAATTTGTTCATGGTACTATCATCATGATTTTGAAGTTAGAATTATTCTTGGTACTCAAACTAGTTATTCCTTTTAGGTCAAAGCATCCTAATTTGGCTTAATATCATATAATATACGTTGATTAAATTGTATATGAATATGAGGTAAACCTTCCAAATCATGGTTAAATTATTAATATACTTAGTTAATTAACTCTCGACTTCGCATAAATATTATTGACTGTTATGCTAACTAAATCGATACATGCGTGATGTACGATTTATTTTAGTAACTTGAGTGAAATAATATTTAATTAATTTTATAAATAAAAATTGACAACAATAATATATATATATATAATATAATAATATTAAGAATAAGTCAAAAATAATATTAAAAAATAAATATATATTAACTTACTACAAATTATTAAAAACTTCTTTGTAAACAATATTTATAATTATTAGTAATATATTATTCTGATGTTATTAAAATATATTTATTATTACACTTTTAAATTCATAGTCAATATATTTATTAAAACAAATATATTAAATTTCACGTTGTAAAAAATATTTTAATCTAATTTTTTCATTAATTTTGATATATATTTTTATATAATATGTAAATAAATTTATTAGTTAATAATATTGATTATATATATTTCATTTTATAATTTTTAGATTTTGACTTCATTTAATATTTTTTAATTATTAATTTATCATATTCTTATTTCATCATTAAACAGTCAAAAATTGAAGCTAATTTTATTTTGTTAATGAAATTATATATTTATTATAAAATATAATCATTTAATTTTAAAAAATATTACATATTACATGATATATATATATATATATCAAAAATCATTTAAATCTTAAACAAATAACTTTTTTATAAATTTCACAAATTATATATTATTTGAAATGTGTAACACCCAAAATTTTATTATTATTATTTTAATGGAATTTTCGTAATTTTAATAAAGTTATAGGGGTATTTTGGGTTCCGGAACGGGCCGTTCCAAAAGTGAAACGGGTCGTTCCAAATGTTGAAAATGTGAAATTTTTGTAGCAAAAGATCAACGAGATTCTGCAAGTCGTGATGAGTGTGCGTCCAAGAGTGTTGAGAGGGTTTGCTTCCTAGTAAGTGTGTGTTTGCACGGGGCTGCTTCAAAAATCAACAAGACTCTACAGGTCGAGATGAGTGTGCGTCTGTGAGTGTTGAGAGGGTAAGCTTCCTAGCTATTGTGTGTTCATGCGGGTTGGAGGGAAGAATTTGGTCATCCCCTCTTCATCGGTCAAAAGAAAACTCAATGTAGAATACTTCACTGATTTCATTTCTACATCGATCACTAATATAATCGATGTAGAATTGTTCATATTTACATCATTTTTTGAAAGAATCAATGTAAATATACTTATATTTTCTACTTATTTACAAGATTGTCACCGCATATTTTTTTTACATCATTTTTTAGGGAATCGATGTAAATATAGCGGCGTTGAAAAGTATTTTTATAGTAGTGTAAAAAGAAGATGTGTGATGAAAATGACTATTGATATAATTTTTTATTTACTTTTTATATTTTCTTCATTTTGAGATTTATTAAAACATTTTTATAATCTTTTTATCGACCGAAATAAAATTGAGTGTTTAATATTATGAGAATATGTCATACCTCTCTTGTTTTTTTTTTTTTTTTATATAATTTTTCTCTCTCTTTATTTCTTTCGTTTTTATAAAATATTTTTTCATTTTTTTTCATCCTTTTCTTAAAGTTAACATTTTTAATTATATGAAAACACACGACTAAATCTTTCACGGGTATTATTAATAAAAATAATTACTTTATTTGGGGAACATATTTTAACAACTTTATTCTTATAACCACTTCTTAAACTATATTTTTAAAATTATTATTTTTTCTTCCACCATTTTTTAAAAAAATTGTTCTTATAATTATTTCTATTTTAAATACTTATTATTAATTTTTATTTCTTTATTTTTAAAAGTACATGGAGGCACAAAATACTTTTTTAATGCTAATGTATGATAATTGATAAATTTGTTAACTTTGAAAATAATCATCCTAAATATCACACCAAAGTTGATTTCTAATTAATATAAAATATTTTATACTAACAATGCATATTTATTAAACTCTAACAAAATGTCTGATTAGAGGAAAATGAAAGAGAAGTGAGAAATTTTTTTGAAATTTGTGTTGTTTGGTTCAAATTTTAAGAGAGAATGGAACAAAATTTCTCTTAACCCCTCTCCTTCAATATTGGAAGATTTAGAGGAGAAAGGAAGATTTTAAAACATATGTTGTATAATATCTAAAATATCGTTACTTGTATTTTTAAATTTGAAATTATAAAGATATAAAGATAAATTAGTTTTTAAAATTTTTCTCCCCACTTTATGAATCAAATAAAAAAAGAGTTATCTCTTATCCACACTCCTGTCAACCAAACAAAAACTTAAATTTCTACCCTCCCCTTCCCTCTTTTTAACCAAACAAACGTTTGCTTCCTAGTAAGTGTGTGTTTGCACGGGGCTGCTTCAAAAATCAACAAGACTCTACAGGTCGAGATGAGTGTGCGTCTGTGAGTGTTGAGAGGGTAAGCTTCCTAGTAAGTGTGTGTTTGCACGGGGCTGCTTCAAAAATCAACAAGACTCTACAGGTCAAGATGAGTGTGCGTCTGTGAGTGTTGAGAGGGTAAGCTTCCTAGCTATTGTGTGTTCATGCGGGTTGGAGGGAAGAATTTGGTCATCCCCTCTTCATCGTGTCACAAAATGAGTGTCAATGAGACTAATTTAATAATTGATAAATTGTGATTTTAAAATAATTTTAATTAATTTAGCATGTAATAATTTCATACCAGTAAATACGCTAAATCACTATTATATATGGAATATATGAATGACATAATCTTTTTAATAAATTGACTAATTTCTGTATTAGTTTTTTTTTTTTTTTAAGGGAAGAGTTGAGAGTTGTGGAGGGAAGGAAATTATTGTAGAACTTCTTTTCTTTATATTATTAAATTTTATAACTAACATTTATATAAATAAAATAAAAAAATTGAGAGAGTTTTTGAAGGAAGGTAGGTAAGAGTTTTTGAACGAAGTTGTATATTATTACTAGATTACATTTCCTATATGAAAATAATAAATAATAATTTTTATAATTACTTTGTTGATATTTTAAAGAAAAATAATTGTTACAAAAATTGTTCACTTTAGTAATGTGTTATTTTTTTTGCTAATATTCAATATTTTTAGCATATAATCATAATTATTATGTAAATTTTATAATTATTTTTACTTTAAAACTAAAATAATTTAAAATTAATGTAATTAATGAATTTTTGAGAAAAATAGTTGTAAAAAAGTTATTTCTGTTATATATACTTATTTTCTATTTTATACGTAGTTTTTTATTTAAATATATTTTAAAACTGAACTAATTAATAATTAATGTAATTAATGTTTTAAGATGTTAAAGTTTACAATATTAATATATTATTCTTTTTATTTTATAAAAAAATATTATTTTAGATGAAAATCTTCTGGATTAGAAATTTTGAATATTTTACTTTAAAACTATTTACATAAAAATATTAATATTTTTATGTAAAATTAGATTTAATTATATTTCTTATATTAACTTAATACATAATAATTTTTATAATTATTATTTATGATATCTTAGGGAGAAAATATTATTACGATAATTGTTCACTTTACTAATGTATTATTTTTCCCCACTAATATTCATTATTGTTTAGCATATAATGATAATTTTATCTTAATATTATTTTATAATACCGTTACAGTTTTTTTTTTATATTAATGGATTATTTTATTATATAATTATATAAAAATTTTAATTTAATTTTATAAAATTTGTATATAGAAATATGTTGATAGGAAGTTTTGAAGGAAAATGCTTTCTGCATAACTTATTTCCTTTATATAGTTGACAGATAAAAATGAGTGAGAGATAATGAAGAGTGAAAAAAACAGGACCAAATGCTGACCCAAGATAGGCAATGACATTGATTATAGACAACATGCATGGGTATTCGATTTCTCTATAGTTCATGTGCACTTGGCCTCATAGTTGAAAGATTCATCGACACGAGGAGTTAGCAGCTAGAAGAAAAAAAAAAAGCATCTAAGAAACGCATCAGAAAAGGGTCTAAACTCTTCTGAGATGTTACTGAACTCCATGACAAATGTCCCTGAATCAAGATGAGTGTTGAAAGCTTCTTCCACTTAAGCCAAACCAACAAGTTTCTCACTAATCTCCCAAACCTTGCGAGCCTTATCTACATCACTGGCCTCTTGTGACAATTGGTTTTCAAATGAAGCAGAAGCCTTGTTCCAGCTCCAGTAAACACCTGATTTTGTTAGGCTTGGATCACTCACAACCTATAACAAGAACACAACAATCAAACATGAGAAACAAATATTCTTCAAAATCACATTCCAACATACAAAAGTGTATAAGGTTTGTTTGGATACAAGTTCAATAAAGCTTTTGAGAGTTTCTCTATTAAAAATAAAGAGTTTTTATTGGTAAAAAAAACTCGCAAAAAATTCTTGAAAGTTTGTATCTAAACAGGTTCATAATCATCTCTAAAGTATATTAATAGTTATTGCTATTCGTATTACCTGTGCAAGTCTCTTTCCTGATTCATCTTCTGAGACAAAGCCTTTGGTTATGTACTTTTGGAAGGGAGGGAAGAGAAGTCTGAACAAGGGAATGTGTTCTCTGAACAACCCTGTTGTGGCAATGCAACCAGGGTAAAGGGAAGCAAATGTGATTCCAGTTTCTTCATGGTACCTTCTGTGGAATTCTTGCATGGTGAGCATGTTGCAGACTTTGCTGTCCTTGTAGGCCTTTGCACCATCAAAGGATCCTCCATCTATCATGGCTGAAGTGTTTAGTCCATTCAAGCCCCCAGCTAGTCCCCTCAAGTCACCGAGGTTAGCCTTGGGTGGCACATTTCCAGCCAATGTGTTGGTGTTTCCTGTTTCATTTACAAAATCATCAACACCAATATGAATCCCAAAATCCTTCAATCAAGTTAAAGGTTCACGCAATAACAAAATTATTAACAACGCATTCTCTAACACATTCTTTATTACATTGAAATTCACGTGGATAGGATCCACACACTCCACATGGTATATCCATGTGAATATCATATAATACTAAAGAGTGTGTTAGATAATATATTATTAACATTTTTCTTATAAAACGAAGAATGTTAGCAACACACTACATAACACACTCCTAAGTCTTCACTATTTAGCGAACTTCACATGAGTTTTTCAGAACTCGTGAATTTCATCCAATAATAGTGTGCTTAAAGTTTAAATGAATGCATATCAGATAATGCATTATTTCTCTCGAAAAACATTGAAATGATTTATACCTGTGATTGAGCCAACAATGATCAATCGCTTTGAAGGGTAATCAGATTTGTTCAAGTCCTCAAGCAAGAGGCGTGAAAGGAGGAAATGTCCCAGATGGTTTGTCCCAACACTGAGTTCAAAGCCTTCAGCAGTGTATGTGGGTTCACTAGCAGTTGGCAAGTAAACTGCAGCATTGCAAACAAGCACATCCAGTGGCCTGCCAGACCTCCTGAAGTTATCCACAAATTGCCTGACACTGTCAAGAGAGGCAAGGTCCAAATGCATGATGGTGTAGTTTTCCTTAGCAATGCCAGCAGATTTTGCTGCCCTTTCAGCTTTCAGGAAATCCCTGCATGCCATTATCACATGCCACTTTCCTGTCTCAGCCAAAGCCTTGGCAGTGGCAAGGCCTAATCCAGAGGAAGCCCCAGTGATCACAACACTGCCTTTCCTCAAAGTTTTCTTGCCTTCTGGTGCAGACTTTGTGACTCCTGGAGTTGTTGTCGCCACTGACTGGACCCTCACAGGGCCAAATTTTTGTTGGAACTCCCTCTGAGATGGTAAAACAGAAATTAGAATATGCTTGTGTTTTGAGTTTTGATCAAGTACCAACATTACACGTGAGAAACCATGACATCATGCAGTGTCCAAAAAAATCAAAACAGAAAAGAAAAGCTATGTCAGATGTATTTTTCTAACACATTAGTATATAAATTATAAGTGATTAATAAGTGTGATATGAAATTCACACAATAGTAGTAAAGAATGAGATTATTAACAAGATTTTGAGTCTCTTCTGATACAAAATTAAAAGTGTTTTGTAGAGTTTTTCATCTGGAAAAAATCTCTTTATTTCCGGTAGAATAGTTCTTTTATACTTGTATCCATACAAATTCTTATATGAAATTCATACAATAATAAAGACTATATTAATATCATTAACAAATTATATTAAAGGGTGCATTTATAAGACATTCACATGATAATATAGAACATGTTCGACAGATTATGTTAAAAGATGAGTTAGAGTATGTTTTGATACAAGGTATGAGGGCATACACTTCTCTTGAAGTCCAATACTGAATTGAATTAACATCCTGAGAAATATGTAGAAACTATATAAAGGAAAACTAGGAATAATAAAGCAAAAATTATGTTGCAGTAGTTACTTTGCATGTCAATGAGGGAGAGGTGAGAGTGTCAGACATTGAAAGACCAAACATTGTGGTGTCCCTAAGAGGCACCCCAGACTTTCCCTGCAAACAAAAACATCAGTTCTGTTATTTCTTCAAATAATGTACAATAACAATAAGATGAAAAAGTAGACATAAAGAAGATGTGTTAATGTGAAAAATGAAGCAAACCTCTTTAGCAATGTTGAAAGAAGCAGAAACCAAGGAAGCAGCCTGGAGAGCCATTGGAAGTTAGAAAGAAAAATGTGAAGTGGGTGGTTTGGTTTTAGAATGGTCCACTGAATTGGTTCAAGTGGGGATGTGAATGTAACGAATTTATACAGTGAAGTGTTGCATTGGATATGAGTGGATAAGATAGTTTGCAGCATGTGCACCTGCCATGTCACCTCAAACGGACCAATGAAGCTTTGAGCTTTAGATTTCTTGTGATATTTTTGGTAACTTTGTGCTTGGAGTTTGGAAAGAAGGGATATTTTGATCCGTTGCAAGAATCAACAGTGAACGTGGATGATGAAAGGGACTTGGAGTGGAAGTAGAAGGCAAACAAGACATGTCTTCTTTTGTCAGTTAAGTCTACGTGGATACAATGGATATTATTCAAGAAATTCTATAGTACCCATCTTATTTTAGAGAGTACCGGTACAGTTTTTTTAATATTTTATGTATTTAATAATTTATTTAAATAATATTTATGATATTTTATTTTTTTATTTTTAAATTATTTAGTCATTTTATTTTTATTTTATATATTTAAAT